CCTTCTTCTTGGATCTCCATCTTCTTGGTAATTGTTTTGCCTTTAGGAATCACTCATATGCCTCCATGAATGACCTTGGAAAACTAGGCTTGTGGGAGCCTCCATTAGATGAGAACATAAACCCTAATTTTCTAGATAGAGAAAATAAATTCCTTTTTCCTTCTCATTAAATATCACCCCTTAAAATATACATAGACCATGTATATTTATAGGCAACATAAAAATAAAGAAAAGGAAACAACAAATCATTCTCCATCTCTAATTTATATGTCTCAAATCTAATATGATTCCAATATCAAGTTGGGCTATGGGTGAGAATCCATTGGGCCTATTATTTTATTGGCTACAATGAATTAATAATTGGCCCGGTCCATGGACCCAATTCAATTAATTCATAAATTAATTTCTACTCCACTAAAAGAAATTAATTGAACTCCAATTAAATAATAAATAACCTCTAAGTCAATATTGCACTTTGACCCCTCTATGCATAATTAGTTATCGGATAAATAAAGCCATCAATCCGACTACTTAATTAATATATCTATTTTGGTATCTCTGATTATTTCTGGCTCGATCATAATAAAACATTTGTTTGACAAAAATAATAATTTAAATAAATAAATATATAATAAATCATTTTGTCTAAAAACACACGAAGGCCTTCGAATTTACTTTGTGATCAACCATAATCAATACAAAATAAATACAAGTAGCAATGATGCAAATATTGAAAATATAACCCTCTAACTATTAATTACATAACTACCCAAAGTGTCAGTCTAAGGATCCCGAAGAATCCGCCGAACAAATCAAAGTAATTATTAATTAATAAAAGAGTCTATACTTTTCTCATGCTTAAGAGTCAAATGCCATGACGGTGATAGGGAGTAATTGCATACGACGGCTCTCGCAATATATCTCAACCTAATGCGGATCCAGTTCAAGTCTTAATTAATTATGAGTCCATCCATAATTACCGACTATGAACAATTTATAATTACTATTTATATATCATGCATTGATTGCCATCACATACATATATATAAATATTTCTTGTAATTACATGGACACTATCAATTTCATAGTGAATCGAAACATAATACATTGAATTCACCAATTATATAAATCATAAATATTTCAGATATGTCACTATAATCCAGATAGGAATTTGCTATGCTAGGGCATATAAATCCCAACAGATTCACTCCAACAAACGGGGCAAACGACATGTCATACCTATTTGTGAGGTAAGTAGTATCAAATGTAATAACATCTCCAAATGACTCATATGCAACACGACACCTTGCATCTGCCTAAATCACATTTCTTAAACGCCTTTTTATCATCCATGTTAATCATGTAAAAGAAATTTGAATTCCTTTTTTGCATGCAAAAAAAATAGTTACGAAGGGCTTCGACATCTCCAATCCCAAGTTGGAGTTGTCTTGCTTTTGAAATGTAATTCCTACACTCCTTTTCACCAAATGATAAATTTTCATACCCACCAACCTCAACAACTGCTGAATGAAAATTCTTATTCAACTTTATACCCGCTAAGTCATATAATTCCAATCTTCTTTTGACATGAGAATCTAATGCCTTGTTACACCTAAAGTGTCGTACCTTTCCTAATGATTATGGTCGAGGTAAGCACGAGCACTAATGAATCTTCCATCATCTTTAGCCGTAACGTTGATTTTAGCCTTGCAATTAGTCATGATTAATGGCCTTGGGTGAAAAGAGTCTTATTTTTGCTTTCCATACTGAGCGCATGCAAATGAAAAGTACCTTGATTTTCCGTCACTACCATTCTTTGCACTGACTTTTATTACACCAAAACTTTGACTCCTAGCATAGTTGTTATAATAACTACGAACTTGTTCTTTAGAACAAAAAACCATTCCAACCACAGGTTTTTCAACTTCATCCCCAGGTAAAATTTCTTTCAACTCTTGTTCGTTTGCTTTATCATCATTATTAATCTGCTTACTATTGATATCTTTGTTTGAGGTCTCCAGGATATGAGAACCTTCTTCCATTTCTAATAATATAATTACATGCATGGTAAGTACTTGATTATACAAATAAAAAAGAATAAACTAAGTAAATAATATAGTGTATCTACCTAAAATCTTTATGCATATTATCTAGATTAAAATGTGAAAAAAAAAGTGTACTTCTTTTATTATTATTATTTATAGTAATTAAAATGCATGCCTCTTCACCAAACAATGAGTAAAACCCAATTGAAGCTTTTTTTTTTTTTAATTGAATTAAAAGTACTAATCAATAATATTTATAGTAAAAAGACATAGCATTCATGGTTGTCAATCCCATTATTGAAAAACTTGCAACATTAAATCTCAAATATCTTCTAAAAAATACTATAGTTTCACATATTATCATACATTATTACTATTTCTTCAGTACATCAAAATCCTCCAAATGAACAAAATATAATTGCCATGACTATTAGAGTTCAACATCGTAAAAGTCTTCCAGAACACAAGGAAGAACAATAAAAGAATAAAATAAAATATTGCTCCAGATATCAACTAGTGTCCAATTTATGGGTTTCAAAAAGTATTAGTGAATGTCTTCAAAAATAAACTCTTCCCCCCCCCCCCCCCTCTTCTCTCCCCTTTATGGAATATCATGTTCATATTGATAAATACAAAATGAATAAATAAATGAACAGGCATGCTATAAAATCAATTTTACTGCTTATATATCTCTTAAAAAAAAAAAATCATAATAGAAGGAAAATACAGAAAGCAAACCCATCTTTCAATTTTATTGCTCATGTATTTCTTAAAAAAATAAAAAAAATTCAAAAGAGAAAGGAAATATACAGAGCAAACTCATCTTTCAATTTTACTGCTCAAATATCTCTTTAAAAAATCAGAAGAGAGAGGAATACAGAGAGAAAACCCATCTTGTTTCAATATGAAAATATATATATATGAAGAAGAACGATCCATACAAAAAAGAAGAAAACATATTATGTAAACTAGAATCCATACCTCCTGATATAGTTGTTTCTTTGACAAATTTTACAGCTGTTTACACCTTCTGTGTGACACTCTGTCGCTAATACAAATAGACCTGCGTCGTGATCAAACTTTCCTTTTGGTCTGTTGCGTGAGGCTTAGCAAAACGACTCAAAAAGGAAACTGCAACTACTAAGCTTGAGGCAACTTATAAACCAAGGGATGAATAGAGCACAGAAACATAGGAGAAACAAGCAAGACACGATGAACACAGATAAGAATGAAGAGAGAAAACAGAGGAGATGATGAACAGACAAGAAATGAATAGGAAGGAAGTATTATTTTGGTAGAATATGAAAAGGTAGTAGCTTCCTTAAACAGATATTACTATATTTTAAGTCAGGCCCACATTATTGACACATAGGCGCCAAATAGATTCAGTACAAAGTAGTTTTTTTTATTTTTATTTATTTTATTTTATATGTGGTTGTGCCAATTTTAGGATATGGTTAAATAATTATATTATTATGTGTACCATGATTCGTTGAGGTCTCGTGATCAGTGGTTAGGATTGATGTGTATAAGGCTAGTTAAGATGGGTAGTTGGATATAGGGATGTGTGTACTCTGGTAGAAGGAGGACTTATGACCACCTTATGTGCGCTTGGCAGAAGATACTCCCTATCCAGTTTAGTTTGCCTTAGTGCAGTGAGAGTCTTTAGTGTGTGTGTGTATATATATATCGATTATGTAGATATTGTATGAGTTAGATAAGGATATATCATTCATCAGGTCTTTTTGAGTTGTTGTAGAAATGACTTGTTCGTGTGTTTTGAGTCTTTTGACCTATCTTTGTTATATTTTTCAAGTTCTCATCAGTAATAGGCTTAGAGGTTGCTCGTGCATAATAGAGACTACTATTCATCACCCTTTCGGTGTCGTTGACATAGGATTTCTTCACTATGTCTTTATTATTCAGTGTTAGACATTTATTATTTCTTTTAGTTATGAGATTTTTATTAAGGGTCCATGGTATGAACTTCGGAGTTGTATTTTGGAAGATTCTTTATATTTGGGAGTTTTTGGATTTATTCAGAGGATTTATTATTTCCATTTTTAGCGTTATTATTTATCCTTATATATTCTGGATATCCCTAGTTTTAGGTGTGGTCTTGACCAACCCATGACCTTTAAATTAGGGTATCAGATGTCCTTGTATTTTGGAGGTTTATAATTTATTTGGAGTATTGGTAATTTATTATTTAGTTTTTCTTTCTATGATATTTATTTTATTCCATTTGTTAGTTTTTGTTTATTACTAATTATTTTGATATTTTTTATTTTTGGGTGAGGACTTGATTAATCTGGGTCTAGGGGGAATCTAATAAGTTTGAACTACAAAAGTGGATATGTTCTTTGATGCCGGAGTGGGTCGCAGATTGCTTAGTTGCTCTTGATTTGAAGCTGTGTTGTCGCCGTTAATGGCGAGAAGGAGAGACCAACTTTAAAGTTTAAACCCTAATTTGGCTTTGCTTCGGTTGGTTGATGCTGCATGAGTGTGTATAGACGACCAAATGGATTGATTCATCGTATTTTAGTGTGGGCAGTTCAGACTTTTTACTTTCTGATAATTTTTTTGTTTTATATTATATTTGTAATTCAAAGGCAATTCAATGAAGTCAAATTAAGTGCTTGAAGAGTAATTATGTCCTAAATGTATAGTCATCTGGTTTTTTTCCAATTCAAACCTCCTGCCTTGTTTACACTCAAGAAACCCTCATAATCCAAAACTCAATTGTGAGGACTATATTAATTCATCATTATTCTTTTTATACATGATTTTTTTGAGTTTTTTTTTTTTTTAAAGCTAAAAATATCGTTCCTCATTATTTTGGGAGACAGATATAAATTACTAAACATTTTCTTATTTACGTTTTACAAAATTTTATATTTTTTCATTTCTCCCCACTAAATTGGACTGCGTAATAAAAAAAGGTTAAAGGTGAAAAATTAGAGAGAGAGAGAGTCAGCAAAGAAAAAGAAAATTAACAAGACTAGCTAAACAGGAAATAGAGGGCTCCTTCCCTGTTTCCTCTCTTTCCGTTGAGCTCTTTCTCCGGGAGCTAATGGAACTGAACCTTTACAAACCCTATAAAAGCAACATCCCTGTTTGAAAATTATTCTCACCTATCAAATCCAAACCAGACAAAACCCTAATTCTCTCATTTCCACTAACCCTCCTCTCAAATTCTCCACTCGCTCAAACCATAACAACACTTCATACAGAATGATTGATGATCATGATGCAGCAGCATCAGCAGCAGCTGCAGCAGACCACTGCTCTGGCGTCACACCCAATCAATCCTCCCCCTTCATCTTCTTCCCTTAGATCCCCAGTTCACTCCCAGCTTCCTTCCCCCCTCTCTCTCGCTCCTCTTTCCGTCTCGCACCGCCAGCTGCCGCCGCCGCCGCCGCCCCTGCCCGACCATGTTATCGGGCCGGCGGTGCCGATTGCGGCTGCGCACCCATCCGGCGAGCCTGCTCTGGTGATGGCGCCGCCGCCGCTCGCTAGAGTTCGCCTCTCTGACATAGTCCATTACGACGGGGCGCCTTCCGGGCCCTATGTCCGGGCTGTGGAGGCACTGTCTGGTTCACTCACGAGGCATAATGCGGCGTTGATTGAGCTCGGGAGCGATGAGGCTGCACTGATGCGGTGCGGATTGGAATCATCCAGGTTGTATTTTAGGACTAGGGCTCAGAGTGGTGGCAGCTTGGGGAAGGGAAGTAGAGGGTTTTATATGTATAGGGCAGGAAGGTATGTGCTATAAATTTTAAGTTCATCTATTGATTTATGCACTAAATTATCATTAATTAATTTCTATTTTATCTTTATGGTTTATCTCGAAAGCTATTGATTATGAAACAAACCCAGGTCAGCTTTTGAATGAATTTGCATTTCAGGGAATGTCATAAAAGCGTTATTGTTATGAATTTTATAATATAATTCATGATTATTCCGATTGAGATGAAGTTTGTGAATTTTCCTTTTTGGATGTTCAAAGTTAACTTTGCTTGTTTGTTTAGGAAGTGTAGTATGATCAGCTCTCGATCTTAACCTTTGCTTAGGAAGTGTAGTATGATCAGCTCTCAACCTATCCACAAGTTCTCTCAATTGAGTATGGAAACCTTTTCCAGCTACTAAAAGATGTTTTTGAATTAGCAAAACTCTTAATCATAATTTAGTGTACTGATGCACAATTCTTTAAGGTAAATTTCTTGAAAACAACTTTTGAAGGGTGTAGTGGTTCTAAAGAAATTTTTTTTTGACAAGTGTAGTGGTGCTAAAGAAAATTGCATCGATGCATATTTTTCTATTTTACATAAAAAGCCAAAAAAAAAACTATGAATGTTTATCCCAACTTTTCAAAAGCATTTTAAGTTATTTCTAAAATAAAATAATAATAAAAATAAAAATGATATCTTAAGTTCCCTCACACACTCACTTACCTTTGATGTGTATGCCATTGCGAGTCAACTGAACATTGAAGTGAAATATTATTGTCACACTGAAAACATGTAAAAGGTGATGATGAAAAATAGTACAATAGCACATAAAGAATAAAGAAAAAATTAACTAAACTCAAAAAGTCTTTTGGTTTAGTTCTTTGATTCTTTCTTGGATGCTACCCCTCTTTTATTTGGCAGGGGAGGGGCCAAGCTATGCGAGCCTAAGGAACAACTCAACAAGGCCTTTAACTGTTAGGTTTATAGGACTTGGGTAGCCCAATTTCGTAGAGCAAAACCGAGTTTGCAACTTTTGTTCAGTTTCTAGCTTAAATTAGGAAATTTCTAAAATTAGTTAGTTACCTCCCAAGGTCAAGGAGAATTCATGCTACATTGAAGGGTAATATGGTAATCTTTGTATACAAGGGGGTAAAGGTACTGATGCGTTCATCAAATTAAGGTTCATGCATGCATATCCAAGGTTCCTAAGTTGTCATAATTCAATCTTATTTTGATTCCCTAAATTATTTTAATCTTGCATGAAAAGAGTTTTTGCAAACTTCCTATTGAAAATTTTTCTGTCTATTATACAGAAGACATTGATCAATCGATGGGACCTTTTGAAAAATCAGTTTCCAACTTGGTTTTATACTTTGCTAAACCTAATTTGTCTATTCTACTTTGTTGCCTATATAAGTACTATGCTAGGATAGAGGAGGCTCGTGGGCTTGAAGAAGCAGTATCTTTCAATGGGCGGGAGGGTCAACTTGATGAGGAGCATGTTCGTTTTTTTTTTTTTTTTTTGTCTCTTCCTGAGTGTTTTGTTTTATTAAAAAATGGAACAATATTGTTCAATACAAAAGCAACAATGGCAGTGAAGAACTAACCACAAAAACAGCCTAGGGCAAATCCCATACTAAAAGACAACAAAATAAAAGAAGCAGCAGCAACAAAAAGTGCTAAAACTCAAAACAAAGCAGCAATGTCTGATATAGCTTAACCAAGTGAACCAAGGCCTTCAAAACAAGACTCCATGGCTATTCTTGGGCAGTGGGAATTGCACCACCATGGAGTCTCCTGTTCCTTTCATTCCAAATGCACCAGATAGTAGAAGTAAAAAAAAAAACATTTAAGCTCTTTAATTCTCATACCAGCATCCTTAGAATGAGTCACAAACCAGTCTAACATATCAGCAAAGGATGTCATCAAAAGAAGATCCTCCCGCTTGCAGCAATGAGCAAGCCACAACCAAACTTGAGAGGCAAAGTCACAAGACCAAAACAGGTGGTCAATAGAATCCTCACCAGAGAAACAGTTATGGCAAATAGATGGGGAAATGAATCCTTTTCTTCTCAAATAATAAAAAGAAGGAATGAAATGTTGCAGAACTAGGACTGTTTGCATAGAAATCCTAGGTCCGCAACTATTCCGAACCAATTTAAACCAAGGCACTTCAACATCATGATCTCTACAAACATTCCAAGCATTTTTGAAGGAGAACTGCCAATGCCTTCAAGAATTAGAATCAGCAACTCCAAGATCATGAAATTGAGAAAGAAAATTTGAGATCTCAACAGGCCAAACTGAAGGGCAAGACCAGCCATTAGAAGATATAAGGGCAGCAATGGTATCAGTAGGTTGAAAAGCAACAGAAAGTAATCTTCTAAGACCAAACCTCTGTTGAAGTGAAACCCTATTAAACCAAGGATCAAAAAAGAGACTAAAGGAAGCCCCATTGCTCACTTTAAAACACAAATGCTGCACCATAAACTCCCCGAGTCCAAAAATAGTCTTCCAAATCACTGAATCAGAACCTTTACCATTCATATGCCAAAAAATTGCCCTCTTGACATACTTGTCTCTGAACGATTTAACCCATAAGGCTTCTTGAGCTGAAAGAAATCCCAAAAGAGTGCAGATTTCCAAGGGAGATCAATACTCTTGAAACTTCTAATACCAAACCCACCCTCTGACTTTGGCAAAGTGATTCTGTCCCAAGCTAACATAGGATAAGCTTTTTTATCAGGTTTGCCACCCCAAAGAAAATTTCTTACCCTCTTCTCAATCTCTTCAGCTGCAACATGGATGGAGAAAACAACATCCCAATAGTAGTAATAAGATGAAACAACTGACCTAATGAACTCAATTCTGCCTGCCATTGAAAGAATAAAAGCATTCCAAACAGAAATCTGTGAATTAACTTTATCAAGAAGGGCAGAGCAATGAGATTTATATAACCTTCTGTCAACAAGAGGAAGGCCAAGATAAGTGACGGGAAGAATATCTTCTCGGAAATTCAAAGTCCTTAAGATACACCTCTTTCTTCTCACTGATGTAGAAGAAAACAAGAGGCTCTTGTCTGGACTAACTCCTAAACCAGAAAAAATTCCAAATTTCCGCAACATGGCTTGAAGATTCCTAGCATTCTCCACTAAAGCTTCTAAGATAAGAAGCAAATCATCTGCAAAGAAAAAACAGAAGCTCCCCACCTTCTTCTTTGAATGACACAAGTCTAGATTCCGCTGGACAACTGCATTAGGAATCATCTGAGACAAATAATGAGTGACCAAACAGAAAAGCAGAGGGGAGAGAGGGCAGCCCTGCCTAATACCCCTACCAGCAGCAAAAAATCCATTTGGAACTCCATTCACAAGGACTTAGAAGTGAACTGAAGTAATTCACTGCATCACCCAAGCAGTCCAAACCGCACCAAAACCATACCAGCAAAGAATATGATGAAGGATTTGTCGTACTGACATCTATTGGGTTGATTATTAGATTTGTCTCATGGTTTATTATAATTATGTGGCACTTTGTGGACTTAATTTAAGAAAGAGGCGGAGGAGAGAGGAGAGAAGGGGGGAGAGAGGGGTCGTACTGACATCTATTGGGTTGATTTTTATGATTTGTCTCATGCTTTATTATAATTATATGGGTCTTGGTGTACTTAATTTAAGAAGAGGAGTTATGACACTGTCCTTATCATGTCACTCTGTCAAATATTTGGGATGAGGTTTTGTCCATGATGGTGATGATGAGGTCATCAGCTAACTTGTTGGTTGATGTTCACTTTTTTATTTCTTTTGTGATCCAGCATGGTATCTCATAATCCAATTTGCATCTATATCTTCCTTTTCCAATTTCTGTTTTTTTTTTTTTTTTTTCCAGTTATATATAAGCAATTTTGTAGGAGTAAGATTATTTATTTATTTAATTTAATTTTAATTATTAATATATCAGTTTAGGCTTGCAATTTAACGCCTCATTACATGTAACAGGGCTTTAGAAGATATGGACTCATCTCCCCCATGCATGGCTGATGTTTTTAGATGCATGGGAAAGGCAGCTCGTTCTGCTTTGTGTGCAATTGCAAGGCATCTTCGTTTGCGAAGCGAGTAAGGATGGTGATTATGGATTTATTAATTTCTCTGAAGCCACTTGCTTGTGCTTTTCCGACTGTTTATTTTTTTCCAACTATATTTTACTTCAAACATGCAAATTCTGCAGCGTTTTTAACCATTTACTCGATGATACCCCATTGCCTGCTAATGAGGCATCTTCTTCGATGCTTGTTTCAACCTATTCTCATACATCCTTGCAAAATGGAAAAGGGGCTATTGGGGGAGGTAAGCTGGCAATGAGTGGCGAATTTGAGAAGGGGCTTTTGACATTGATTTCTTCAGACACTCCTGGTCTTCAGGTAACCATTTGTTACTTGATTACAGATCCACTATTGGTAATAGATGGTGTTTTTTTAGTGGAATTGTTTTTTATAGCTTTCCGCTAAATCTTGTATTATACCCTTTACCTAGGAAATGATTCTCATCCTTATTTTTTTTTATTCTTTTCCCAAGTCAAGTTTTATTAACAAGAGCCTTCTATCCTATTTTGGGGTGCTTTGATTTGTTGTGTCCATTGAATCATTTCTTCTTCTTATTTTATTTTATTTTATTTATTATTATTTTTTTCCCCCATAGGTTTGTGACCCCAATGGTCGTTGGTACTTAGCAGATGGAGGGTCAACTCCCGGGGATCTTTTGCTACTTACAGGCAAGGCACTCAGCCATGCCACTGCCGGCCTTCGGCCCGCTGCCTCATATAGGGCTGCATCTGATTATTTTCCATGCAGTGGTGGTAGTGGAAGGTAGATATCTCTATTTTGATCAGTTACTGTTATGCTTGCGGTGTTGAAGCATGTGTTGCAGACTTGCAGTTGTCGCAACTGAATTTCCTCATACTTTGCTTTGATTAACAACCTTTTTGAGGAGCTGAAATTTGCGTGTAGGACATCATTGGCATTTAGGCTCATGCCACAAAGCAATGCTATATTAGATTGTTCTCCAATTGAAGCAGCTGGTCATATCGTTCCACAGAGCTATGTACGAATATCTGTAAGCCAATTTATGGACGACCTTTCTGCCGAGGAAGATATATTGTGCAATCGCTCTGATAATACCAATGTGAGTTATGTCTCTAAGCAACTATTTTGATAAACTACAGTAAAAGAAGATAAACTGTAAAATGACAGCTTTGAGATTGAATAAATCACTAATAAGTGCAACAATCCTCATGTTCCTTGCAAAAATGGGGCTATTATTAGACCAATCATTTCATGAAGCAGCAGTTTCAAACTGCCTGGTTTTGATTACCTTTCCATTGACAGGGGACACTGGTTTTGAGGAATGAGGAATCTATTGAAAAGCTCTGTTAAATAAGTTTGTTCAATTTATGTTATGAAATTTTAACCAAGAGAAGGTTGATGCTATTGGGCTCATCATGATGGAGGAAGCAGAGCTCATAACTCATCTTCCTTTCTTTTATTAATACTCCCTCAGTCCCATAACAATTGTCCCTTTTGGGGACCCCCAACTTTAAGCGGAAATGCAGTAAGCCAGTAAGTGCATGTCTCTCTTTGAAATTCCAAACTAGTTTTTCAAACTTAAAGAGATGCATTATTTATTTGGAAAATTTTCAAAATCTTTGAATAATTCAGGAAAGTTAAAAAAAAAAATTCTTTCTTTCCTGAACGGGGCAATTTTATAAAAGAAACTAAAGAGATGGACAAAAGAGCAAGCAGGGGCATACCCCTGCAATTTCATCAAGACTAGAGGGAAAAGAACTACTTCCAGTAAAGATAAGAAACAAAGAGAATGCATAAATTGCAGAAAACAATCATAACAAACTCAATTCTCCAACTGATATCCCTAATAAGGTAGCAGATTCCAAGGCATAATCAACCCCAATAAGAGCAGACAGATCTGACAGGACCTTCATGAACTCTAGCATTCTTCTCCTTCCAAATATTCCAAATGATAGTAACAAAAGAGCTTTTGATAAACTTGTATCTAACTTCAGTGTCAGTAACTGAACCAAGAATCCATCCCACCATATCAGACATAGAAGTGAAACTAAGAAGATTAATACCCAGAACAGAAGACCGCCATGTCCAAACAGCCCTAGCAAACTGACATTGAACAAACAAGTGGTCTATAGTATGTTCAGCATTCCAACAGTTATGACACACGGGAGAGAGATACCTCTGTATTTCCTAAGTAAGTAAGAAGGAACAGCCTTATGAAGAACAAGACATGCAGGAAAGTTCAAATTTTTTGCATTGATTATTTAAAAAACAGTTAAACATCCCAAAATAGGTAAGGGACCTATTTTGGAATGGAGAGAGCCTACTTGTAGAATCTTTTATTGACAATATTTTCCTTGTTGCTTGCGTGGGAGACCTATTATTATTGTTGGATTGCAAAGGTTTTGGTTGGCTAGCCTTTTCTCCTTAAAGAATAAATTTATTTCTTTTGATCCCGCAATATCTTCATCTTGAAAATGAAATATTTACTACAGTTCATGTGAACAAGTCTTTTTTGGATTTGGATTAGCAGGTGGCACAAAATAATATGAACAGAGAACCGTCATTAAGAAGTGTTCTCTCGGATCCCTTATCGTAAGTTGAATTTCTGTCTTTATTCTTGTTCCTTAGTTGCATTTTTGATAAACTATTGTGATGATTTTATTCTTTTTTTTGTCATAGATTGAGATCTTAGTATTGGATTGGGTTTAATTGCTCAATCTTAGTATTGGATTGGTTTTGTTGATTAGTGATACTGATACATAACATCAATATGTCTTGTTCTTAAGTGGTACTCACTGGAGATTTTAGAATACTCAGCAAAGTCTTGGCTCGGTTGTATGGTGCTGGATGAATGAATCTTATTTTATCATTTTAAACTTAAATTCAGTTAATCACATTGTGCCATTTCTTTCCCTGATATCTCAACGGACATTAATATTGGTCTTCTCCTTTCTCTAATTTATGCCGGATAGCACTAAAATACTTTGGAAAGTGCTGCTTATTATTGAAGTCGGACTTCTGGTATAAGCTATTATTGGACCGGGGTAACACAACTAAAGTACCCTTTGAAAAATCTAGTCGAAAGCTAATACAAATATACATATTTCATGTTTTAAACAAAATTTGCCAAAATAAATCTTCTTGACCTTATAATTATTTTATTATTATTATTATTATTATTTTTTTTTTTGTAGCATGTTTTCCTAGGCATTTTGGGATACTTTTGTGCATATCATAAGTATTACTTTAACTCTAGATATATGCCTTACACTGGCTTGCGCCTTTCCGAGAATCTTCAGGATTGCCATGGGATAGACAGGCATCGGTTGCCAACTGTTATTGGCTTGATAGTGGTAGGACGACCGGGATGTGTGTTTGTGAGGCATTTCCTGGACTGGAGGACATCTTACAGTTCTTGGCTTTGTTGTACTGCCAGGAGGTGGATGGGGAGGGCCCGACACTTGGGTATGGACGATCTCATCTCAGGGGAGTTTTGATGCTTGCTCTTTTTATAGAAGCCTCTTGGATGCTTTAGGGATTGCCTTCCTGTGGAAGGATGTTGACACACCAAGGCTCCTCTCAAGGTGGTCTTCTTTGCTTGGATGACTCTTCTGGAGAGGTATGTGCAAGAGAGATGAGGAGACCATGGACCAATTTCTTTTGCATTGCCTGGTGGCTCGGGACACTTGGGCTATGCTCTTGAGGTTTGTTTGGGGTCTTTTGGGTTATGCCTCAGTCTTTGAGGAGCATGATAGAGGCTTGGAGAGGATGTACAGTGCCTTCCCAAGTCCAAGACTTTTGGAGAGTGGCGCTTGTTTATTTGGTGGGGCTTGTGGAGGGAACGAAATTGGATATCCTTGGATGGTGTGGAGACTCCTATAGGGGGGCTTATGTTTTTTATTTTTTTATTTTTTTATTTTTTATTTTTTATTTTAAATTAGTTCTCTTTTTCATTGGGCTTTTGGGAGGAATTGTAAATCTGTGGGGGAGCTGGTGGATTTTTTGGACATTCTAAGAGATTAGGGGCCTTATTTGGTCCTTGTGTAGCTTTTGTGGGATGTGCTCCCCGCTTGAGCGCGTTTTTCCTATGAAGCTTTACCTATCAAAAAATATATATATGTCTTTCATGCATTAATAGGAGAGGCATACATATACACAAATAGAGAGCATATAAAGAGTTCAGGTTGTATTTTTGCACTCAAGCTCACTTTTTGCTTGCATTGAGTATTTTTTGCATACACTTGTGAGATTGCGAGTGTTTATTTGATATTCACATGCAGTGTGACTATTTGTGTTGTTCCGTTGAGTGTGATTGTGGATCAAGGTGAATGACGTGACAACGGTTTTCAACAACACTCTTTATAAAGTTTTTGTGGTGGCCTTGGCATTCGATCATGGAACGGATGAATGTACATAGAATATGTGATTACAGGTCATATCATAGGAAAGTAGGCATAGATGCCTTGGATATGTGCACATTGGTAACTTGTGCCACTAAAATTTGATGCGTTTCAGAGGCAGCCATAAAAGTTGCTGCTGCTCCTGTTGTCAATGCCGGTGTGATTGAGAAATTAACAGGAGATATGGTGTTGTGTGAGAGAGGTAAACCTGATATGGCAAGATTTGATAGGGGTAATAATGCCACTTTACATTATATATAATAGTAATCTTTCTCTTTACTCAACTCTTATGTCCAGTTTTAAATGGATGAAAAATGTTTGACCGGGAAGGATGCGTCATCAATTCGTCATTCTCTTCTCCCCAACTCTCCCTTGTACCAAATAATGGAGACTTGCTCCGCCCTTCCTATCTTCCCTCTCAGCTTCTTGCTTCCCTCCTACCAAACAAAGCATAAAACAAATTAACATGTGATCATTTACTTATAAAAAAAAAAAAGAAGGGTAACATTTGATCATTGCATGAAAATTTTTAGTCAAATGATTTTTTTTTTTTTTTAATTCGATTAGTATTGTTGCGACTAGAGAGAGAGAGAGAGAGAGAGAGAGAACACAATGGATACATAATGTGTATTTCATATATCTCAAACCCTAAGCCTAGTACAGTGGCTTATATAGAGTACAGGTCTCAGCTAATTACACAATGACCTTACCAACTATATGTAATTACATAATGACCCAAAATATTCTAACACTCCCCCTCAAGCTGGAGAGTATATATCAAATAATCCCAGCTTGGAACAAATAGTCCTTAATCGATTATAACCCAATGCTTTGGTAGACATATCAGCTAACTGATCTTCAGACTTCACAAATGGAGTAGAGATGCTCCCACTTAAAATTTTTCCCCGAATGAAGTGACAATCAACTTCAATATGTTTGGTTCTCTCATGAAACACAGAATTTGATGCAATGTGAACAGCTGCTTGATTATCACAGAACAATGGAGTAGGAGTTTCAACTATCAATCCAAGTTCTTTTAGAAAATGTTGTATCCAAGTCAACTCACTAGTTGTATGGGCCATTGCCCTGTACTCAGCTTCAGCACTAGATCGAGCTACCACCGTTTGCTTTTTACTTTTCCATGTAACAAGATTTCCTCCTACAAATGTGCAGTAGCCTGTAGTAGATCGCCTGTCTAAAGGAGAACCAGCCCAGTTAGCATCTGAAAAACCTTCCACCCTGAGATGACCATTTGATTTATATAGTAACCCAAAACCTGGAGCTTGCTCGAGATATCGGATAATTCGAAGAACAACAACCCAATGTGGCATTCTAGGAGCTCCCATGAACTGACTTATAACACTAACTGCATATGAAATATCAGGTCGAGTGATAGTGAGATAAATTAATTTCCCAACAAGGCGACGAAATCTGCCCGGGTCATTAATTAGATCACCCTCATCAGACACAAGTTTTGTATTTGAATCCATAGGAGCATCAACTGGACGACCACCCAACATATCTGTTTCTTCTAACAAGTCCAACACATATTTGTGTTGAGATAAACTTATACCCTTCTTGGATCTAGCAACTTCAATACCCAAGAAATACCTAAGTTTACCCAAGTCTTTAGTATGGAATCGATTTTGCAGAAACAACTTCAACTTAGCAATTCCTTCAGAATCATCACCCGTGATCACAATATCATCTACATACACCACAAGAAAAATGAAGCCAGCTTTAGAGCGCTGGTGAAATACCGAATGATCAGTCTGGCATTTGTTAAGACCAAATTCTAATGCCGCCTCAGAGAATTTTCCAAACCAAGCCCGTGGAGATTGTTTCAATCCATACAGGGCTTTTTTAAGGCGACAAACAGTGTGACGATACTCCCCCTGAGCAACAAACCCAGGTGGTTGCTCCATATAAACTTCTTCAACTAAGTCACCATGCAAGAAGGCATTCTTGACATCCAATTGAAACAAAGGCCAGTGACAATTGGCAGCAATGGAAATAAGTACCCGAATAAAAGAAATCTTAGCAACAGGAGAAAAGGTCTCATCGTAGTCAATACCATAAGTTTGAGTGTACCATTTTGCCACCAGACGAGCCTTCAACCGCTCAATAGACCCATCGTGAAGGTATTTAACAGTGTTGACCCACTTACAACCAACCGTTTTGGAGCCCGGAGGTAAGGGAACCAGATCCCAAGTCCGATTACGGTGCAGGGCATCCATTTCATCTACCATGGCGTTACGCCAATCCGAATTAGAAAGAGCATCCTGCAAAGTCTTGGGAACAAACGTGGCAGACATTTTGGATAAAAAACAAGATAAAGAGGAGGAAAAATTATGGTAGGAGACAAAGTTAGAAATGGGATGTGCAGTAACACACGACCGAATACCTTTACGGAGAGCAATGGGCAAATCATCAGGTAAAGGCGTCGGATCCGAAGACTCTGAAGGAGATGGAGGGAGCGAAGTAGGCGGTCGAGGTTGTCGAGTATAAACCTGCAAGGGGACAACAGAGCGAGGAGGTGGGGAAGCAGGAAGCAGAGAGGAAACAGTTGGCATAGGTAGCGCTAGAGTAATATCGAGAGGGGTAGTAGAATCAGAAAAAAATGGGAGAGACTCAGAAAAAGAGACATCAGCACTAGTGAAATAGCGCTGAAAATGAGGACTGTAGCAACGATAACCCTTCTGAGTGCGAGAATACCCAAGAAAAACACACTTAGTGGCACGGGGGTCGAGTTTGTCAAGACCGGGCCCAAGGTTATGGACATAACACACACATCCAAAGACCCGAGGAGTAAGATTAAACGTTGCGGAGTCGGGAAATAGAACAGAATGGGGAGACTTCCCTTTTAACACTGACGAAGGCATCCGATTAATAAGATGACAGGCTGTAAGAACAGCATCACTCCAAAAACGTTTGGGAACATGCATATGGAATAAAAGGGCACGACATACTTCGAGGAGATGATCATATTTACGTTCAGCTACTCCATTTTGTTGAGGAGTATAAGTACAAGATGATTGATGAATGATGCCTTTAGCATGAAACTAAGTCTCAAACGGGTCCGAGAAATATTCTTTGGCATTGTCAGAACGTAAAACTTTAATGGAACATCCAAATTGAGTTTTGATTTCTTTGCGAAATATTTGAAAAATAGAGAATAACTCAGAACGATTTTTCATTAAAAACAACTAAGTCATACGAGAATGATCATCCACAAAAGTCACAAAATAACGAATTCCATTAAGAGAAATATGTTTTATTGGGCCCCATACATCTGAATGAATTAACTGAAAAAGACTAGCAACACGATTGGTAGCTCTCGGTTTGAAAGATACACGACAATGCTTACTAAACTGACATACTTCACAAGGCATGGACTCAACACGACTAAGACTAAGACTGGGGACTTGATGCTGCAAAACTGATAAGGATGGGTGGCCGAGACGACAGTGCCACTGGAAAGGAGACAAAAATGAGTGAAGAGCCGTGGGAGTTGGCCCAATATCAAAGTAATACAAGCCACCTACTTCATGTCCCGTACCAATCTTCTTCATCGTCTTGAGATCCTGAAAAATACAGCACGAGGGATAAAATGTAACAGAGCAATTAAGAGATTTAGTAATTTGACTAATGGACATCAAATTAAAAGGGAATTGAGGAATAAATAATACAGAGGAAAGGGACAAAGAGGACGTGAGTTGGGTGGTTCCCACACCCAAACTTTAGTGGAGGAGCCATTAGCAAGAGTAACCCTTTGTGATGAAGAAACAGACTGAAAATCAGATAAGAGATGAGAACTACCAGTCATGTGATCGATTGCGCCAGAGTCAAGAATCCAGGGACTCTGACGAGAGGATAAGAGACATGCAGGTGCACTACCTGATTGGGCAAAGGAAACCATGGAAGATGAGGTGGAAGGCCGTTGTTGAGACATAAACTGAGCATACTCATCGCGGGAAACTGTCATGGTGACCATAGCAGGCTCAACAGCCACTTGTGAAGCATTTGGTGTGGTAGAGAAAGAAGAATCCCCTTTATTAGAGGTTACTTGATGTGCATAGGAAGAAGGTGGTGGTTTCCCATGAAGATCCCAACACTAATTGACAGTGTGATTAGTTAGACCACAGTGAGTGCAGAGTTTTGAGTCTCTGCCTCTAACTCTGCCACGACCACGACCACGAGTAAACCGACCGCCACCACCATGAGAACGCTGATAACCACCCTAGTTCACAACTAACGCAGAACGTTCACTGCTAGGAGGAGCAGGGACACCACTTGAAGCACTTCCAGAAGCGCCACTAGATAGAGTAGCACGTTGGAGTCGGGAGAACATATCAGGAAGAGAGGGAAGTGTAGGGCTACCCAAAATCTGTGCACGAACTGATTCATATTCAGGTGACAACCCCGTGAGAAATCGAACAACATTAAAATCCTCACGTTGTTGTTGCATGCTCTTTACATCAGAGCTGATAGGCTGATACAAGTTCATTTCTTCACAAATTCCCATTGACTGGGAGAAGTATTCTGCAAGACTATGAGTACCTTGCCGGAGGTCAAAGAATTGTCTGCACACCTCATAAATTCTGGTGATATTACCAGTACCTGAATATAGCTGTTGGAGGCGATTCCATAGCTCCTTGGCAGTATCCAAATACAACAGGTGGGAGCTGATATCTTGTTCAATACAATTCAGCATTAAGGAAATGATCTGAGCATCCATTTGGTCCCATGAACTGAAATCTGCATCACTTGCTTTAGGCTTATCCTTAACCAAATGAGAGCCAAAGCCTTTGGCTTTCAGAAAAATAGCTACGGACTTGGCCCATAAAATATAGTTCTTGCCATTGAGCTTGACAGAAGTCATGGGAGGATTGAAAGAAGTAGAAGAAAACAGGTCGGAACCGGCAGCAGCCATGGAGAAGGATAAACAGCGAAGAAAACCGAACCTGGGAAAAAAAAAAACTGAATCCGGATCTGGTCAGGCAGGCCGGATCTGGGCAAACGGGCCGGATCTGGGCAAACGGGTTTGGATCTGGACAAACGGGCCAAATCAAAACCAGTTCTCTGCTATTCCGCTTTTAGTAATCCGAGGTTGGAATAACTTCACGCCTGCAGCTAAACACCATTCTTCTCCTTTACAATCAGCGCCGGCAAGAACCAGATCTATGCCACCGACCATAAACTCCAATCACCCAAGGTTCGCAATGAAGAATCAAGGCTAGTACACACCCAAGCCCTTGCAGCGGTGACGACGGCAACCCAACACAAGCGGCAATTTAACAACCAAGCGGAGAGGGTTCGCGATGATGCAACCTCTGCAACTTGCGATAGCCAAGGCAGCCTCGGCCTACAAAACGAAGGGCTTCAGATTTGAGAACGACAGACAAGAAGCTTCAAACCTCCGACAGCTTCAAACCTCCGGCTCGAACAGAGCGACGGCCAAACCTGTCGCGAAGAACAGAATCAACTTCGATCTCGATTCTAATTTGTAGAAGAACACCACAGATGCAATCACAACCATAATCTTAGTTTTCCCATTGTTTCGTACCGCTCTGATACCATGTTGCAACTAGAGAGAGAGAGAGAGAGAGAGAGAGAACACAGTGGATACATAATGTGTATTTCATATATCTCAAACCCTAAGCCTACTACAGTGGCTTATATAGAGTACAGGTCTCAGCTAATTACACAATGACCCTACCAACTATATGTAATTACATAATGACCCAAAATATTGTAACAAGTATAATTGTGCCATCCTAGATTTTAGGCTTTCTGTTCGTCTTTATTGTGAATAATGTCATGTGAAGATGGTGATACAAATGAAAAAAGTCAACAGAGATGGAAGCCTGCATATAGGCTGTTTTTTCCCTTTTCTTTTCAACTTTTCCCCCTTTAATTTTTTTTAACCCCCACTTTCTCTCAAAATGCATAAATAGTTACCTAAAAATAAAAGTACAAATAAAATGATAAAGAAAAGAATGATGCAACAATTTGGAACAGGGATGCCTTTTGATTGTTTTGCGTTGTGTGTTTCTATGTTGTCATTCTCCATAATGTGCTTGAATGTTTTTAACTAATATGGCCTGAGAGACTTCCAATGACCAGGACTTAAAGATTCACTTGCACATGCCTTAGTTTCCATAAGTTTGTATATGTCAATGTATAACACCTTCTTAGCAAGGGAAAATTTTCTTTTGTTTGATATCTTGATTTCCTTTGTTTGTGGCCACCATGATATGGCTATTAACTAGAAGACACGCTGCGCTAAGTTTATTCATCCTTGCACCTTCATTTCTGATAATTGATTTACTTCTTTTTATAAGTTCATGGTAATCTTCATCAGTCAAATTTTTGAGATTATGTTTCTCGCGAGTTACTTTTCCTATTTTTAATTGCTTCGTTTCTTATCCATCATAACATAATGTAGTGTTTCCTTGGATCACATGTAATATTGATTGAATTTTCCACTTCTTTTTGATGATTTGTTAATGCTTCAGTGGTGCATTCCTTGAAGATGCTATGTTTGTTTCATGTGGACATTCATTTGGTGGTCTCATGCTGAAGAGGGTCATCGATACTGTAAGCTGAATTAATCTCCTATTTTTTATATGAATGTGCAGCCACGATGGCTTTGATGAGTTATATGGAACTGGATTTTTGAATTACAAAAATAGCCTTTTCGGGTGCAAAGAATGACCAACCATTTTGTGTATAGAATAAGGTTCGTAAAGTGGTCTTTGAAAGATTGATTACTGTGGATGTTTACATGTCTATTTTTCATTCTCAATCATCTCTCTGACCATAGTTCTTGATGTATTAATTTATAATTGCCACTCTCACCACTATATTTCCCCGTCTATGTAATTAGTAATAGCCTCTGATGTCGTAAAACGAAATAAGTGTGGTTCCATGCATCTTTCTTTTAACCTTGTGAAAATCATGTCAAATTTCTCTTACAAGGATTGAATGTCTAACATGAGTATGAGAAAACCTCCAATCATCTTGAGAGAAGTTACCGAGACTCAGAATACTTTCATTTATGAAATATTCAATTCATTTCACTTGCAATTTTTGGCACGGAAAATTTGAAGAAAATAAATATTTGGCATTCTCCATTTGTTCAACGTTGAGTGAGCCTTTTGTAATACTAGTAGTAGTGTGATAAACTCTTTAGTCAATACAAATATATGCATATAGTAACTTATGAAAAAGGGTTCTAGGAGGGGTGGACTAGGTACGGCTTAACCATATATATATATATATATATATATATATATATATATAATGCATGTGTGCATACCCAAACAAACTTACAGCTTATAAACTTTCTATCAACAGTGCTTCCCCTTTCCTGCCCCCTGCATACACTTCCACATCTGCACCCATTTCATGCTGATGTGATAGTTAGGTTGCTTCTGTTGATTATGATGCTGGTTAGGTGCATTTCCTAGTTTCACTTCTTATTGGCTGTATCATATGTACCTTATGATTTCTTTTGTAACGTGACAAGATGAATGACACCCTGAAATGTGGATTATAATGAGATTTATAATCCTGTCATTTCACTTTGTATAGCTTTGTGTTATCAATTTATTACCACTTGATGGGAAGAGTCAAGAATTATAACTGCAATTATTGTTTGCATAACAGTCAAGATGTACTCTCTGCAACACGGAAATCGAGAGGTCTTTAATCCCTAACCATGGTATATTCCAGTTCACTTTTTGAGTTGCTTTTCTCTTATTTTATCTCTCTCTATATCTCCTTTTACCTTGACTTTGACACTTAATGATGTGAAATTTTCAATTCACTTTCTATCACTCTCTTCCATTGTTTTCTAGCTTATACTTTTAAATTGATTTCATCCACAGCTCTGAGAGCTGCAGCTGCAGCTGTGAAGCTCGAGGATGATCGCAGGCTCTTCTATAATACAGCTCTACGTAAGCGTCGGAAAGAAGTGGGCGACCACAAGGTACACCTTATTTAAGTGACCGACTTTAAATAGATTGGTCTATTTATATTTGGCATGTTCAGGCACACAAGCATAGTGGTGATATTGATTCTATAATACCAGTTTCGGTACTACACAGTGGCAATGAAATGGAATAGAAGTGTGGTGTGCTGCAAGAAATAAGTATAGGAAACCAATGGCATAAAACTGTTATTTGAAGATTGGTGAGCATAAAATAATATCCATTTAGCGACTGAAAATAATATGAAGTATTAGGAGTACTATGAGGAGCCTCAATGTCAAGGGCAAGGTCTTTCGAGTTGGGAAATCCATTTTCCCCGCAGAGGATCCATGTCTCCTTGATACTCCTTGGTGCTTCCAGTGAAAGGAAATATTCATTGAAAATGGATTCCCTGAAAATCCTAGAGGCATTATTTACGTTCTTTGAATTAGCAATCCATGGAAGCATAAAATGACCTAGTGACAATAGTGTTTAATAAGAAGTCAGATGTATTTAGTATTAGGGAAAAGAAAAGGAAAGACAAAAAGATAAAGAGTCATTATAACTGCTTATATCCCAGTAACAGAGTTACCACGTGTATAAGCTTAATGGATGATAGATATAAGTTAAAGCAAGTGGTGTCCAAGCAAAATGTGAAAATTTCTTGTTAAAATCGATGGCATTGAAATTTCCAAAACGAATTGTGTAAAGAAATTTACTGCTCAGTGAGCTAAAATCCTTGTAGAACAGTGTAGGATTGGAGTCGAGTGTTTCATTTTTATTGCTGACATAACTGAACGCTCAATGATGGAATTGAAATAAGTATGAATATCTGGAAACTGAAACACATTTACCATTTATACTTTCCAGGAAAATGGGGATATTCCTGGTGATAGTGGGCCACATAGAGGGGTACAATATCCATTTTCAGTAAATGAGAAAGTGGTTATTAAGGTGAGCTATTGTGCTATTTTTTGCAATAATCTTCTGCCAGACTGTGAACTTTCACTTAAGAGCAGTGTTGAAGTGCAAACTTAATCTGCAGGGAAACAGGAGGACACCAGATAAATTTGTTGGCAAGGAAGCAATTATCACATCACAATGTCTTAATGGCTGGTAAGTCGGCTGAACCTTAATATGTTGTTTTATGACATTCTATGCTGGCTTCTTTTAAATAAAAAAGAGAAGTTCATATACGACAAACCTTTGGGATTGAGAGTTATGGAATATGAGAGAGAGAGAGAGAGAGATTGAAATCCTACTATTTCTCTCCTCCTTTCTACCTACCTTTTTCCTTTCCTTAAAGATTTTAATCCATCAAAGTGTAAAGCTGCAAAAGGATAGATTCAAAGTGATAGTCTATGTGCTCTAATATTAATGGTGTAAAATCACAAATATGGTGCATATAGCACCAAATAGAATTTGGAATAACTGTATTTCAAAAGTACAAGCATCTTCAAAATTCCCTGTCTTTCATTCCTTTCTTCATTGCTCCCTTTTCCTCTCCATCTACACTTTTCTTCTTTTGCGGACATTTTTATCACCACCAGCACAATCCTTTGGTTAGAGTGATTTAGAGAATTTTCTAAGAAACATGCTACAATTCCGATGTAATGCCAAAAATTACCCTAGCAAAATCCAAGGCCACAAGTATCGTGAATTCTAGTGAAACCCAATTCTTGGTGGAATTATGCAATATTGAAAATTCACTTCTTGTTTTGAGCCATTAGGCCTATTACTATGCCTACATTTCTTCAGAAATACACTTTGAAAAAGGATGTTGTGTACCAAAATATGTATTCCCTCATTCTTCTCTTTTTTCCTTTTCTTTTTTTTTTTTTTTTTTAAATTCCTTCAAACCTGATTTTCAAAGTCAATTCACAATATTCAAACAATTCTTCAATCCGTCATAATTTCGAGATACTTGCAAATCAATCTATTTTTCCATAAAAACATCATGACCATTTTTCACCCCTATGTTGTTATAATGCCGAAATATTCATAACTTTAATTTATCTCAATACTCCGGATTTTATTTTTATTTTTATTATTATTATTTTTTTTTATCTTAATATAGCCCGTGTTTACAAATCTTCATTTTTTTTTTTATGTTTTTCACCAATGCAACACCCTAAATTTTTCCTCTTTGTGATTTTTTAACGGCAAATGTTTTAAGAGATTTAATAGCCCTTTATAATAGCCCCATGTCAACAAACATTCAAATTTGGCCCTTTTTCCTTCGAAAATAGGTTTTTAGAAGTGTCCATTTACAAGCCTTTATGATGACGAATATTTCAACGTAAATCGCACCATCTTTATTAAATTCTCTCATTTTCTTTCGTTGTTCTTACTTTTTATTTTATTTAATATCTGACTTCCTCTTTTTTTCACTTTGAGACTATTTCAATCAAGACCATCCTATACTAAACTAAATTCTATAGCTACATAGTTGATGCCTTATACCTATTCAAATTAACAATTTTATTTGTTTTACAACACCAAAAGTCAACCACTTTTGAACTAATTTTTAAACAAAGTTCAACTTTAAGAAATCATGATTAACATAATTACTTTAAGAAACCATGATCTAAGTGCTCGGTGTGCTAACAGATATAGACGCGTGTAAAGCACAAAAGCAGAGTAAGCATAATTCAGTATGTAAGGAGTTAAGGTTAGAGAGATGTAAACACAAAACACCAAGATTTACGAGGTTTGGCAACTCTACCTACGTTACTCAACATCTCACTGCCATCAATCACTTGTTCAATAACAGATTTGCCGTGATTTGCATCAAAGCCAGCTTTTAAATCATTTTGGACATGCAATTGGAAAACTTCATTGACGACCTTTACATCATTTTGGACATGCAATTGGAAAACTTCATTGACGACCTCATTAATTAAGTCACGTTGCTCAGTCTGAACAGTAAATTTCTGGTTTCCATCTTCTTGCTTTACTATACTAAATTCATTCTCTTCATCTACCAAATTGTGCAAAAAAATTGATGTTTTCACATCATTAACTTCTACTTTAATTACAATAGGTGAAGCATCATAAATTTGTTAATGAACAAACTCTTGAGAAGCACGGGTTGATTCTACAAAATTATCATCAACCTTGAAGCGACTATCTCTATTGTAAAAATTCTTTGAAGACTTTTTGATAGATGGACTCTCTTTCTGACAATTCTAATATTTCTGAAACATCAGTTCCTCATAATTTGTTGGTAGAAATTTAGCCTTGAACAGTTGTTTCATCTTGTACCACGATTGCACAGGCTGTGATCCTTGCTTACTTCGATAAAACTTTATTTGTTCCCCCCGAGTTGAAGCCCGACCTTTAAGCTTGAAGGCAACAAGCGGAACTTGCTTGTTTTCAGTTACATCAAAATATTCGAAAAATTCTTCAACTTCTTCAATCCAGTTCAAGACATCTTCAATAATAAAAATGCCATTGAAAGTAAGTAGATCAAGTTTTACTTGAAATTCACGATTGTTGCGTCTACCTCGATCACTGAATACGAACTCCTCATCATCGGAAGAATCATTGAAATAATCCGCATAGGTTGGAGGCCTACGTGGATAAACAATAACATAAACCATATTCGGTTGGCAGCTAGACACATCATCAGCGCGAACTCGAACTGAACCACGAACCTAATTGCCACCAATCCAAAACCAGTTGCTACGAACCGATCTTGAGTATGCATGGCTACCCAAGGGGCCTTCACTCTGCGATCATTGTCGGCAAAGTGGGTGCTACCAAAATCAGTAATCGTCATCTTGCCTAGGGTAAATCAAGACTCTGATCCCAACTTGATGCAGCGGATCAATGAAAGCAATTAAAATAAATAAGAATAGTAACATATTCTTCAAACACTTGAATCCACGAGAAGAGGTTTTGAGGAACTTTCGATTTTCTGATATTGATAAAAGAGATAGTTTGATTCATAAACTATTACAATAGCATGTACTTATAGGCCTAAGCAAGTCCTAAACTATATAGGAAATTAAATCAATGGAAACTTTCCTAAAAGAAAGACTAAACTATTTAGGAAATTAAAACAATGAAAACTTTCCTAAAACAGACACAAAACTAATAGGAAATTAAAACAATGAAAGCTTTCCTAAAACAGAAAATATAAACTAGAAAACACTGTTCATACTCATGCACTGTTCATTGCTGTACTACATCAGTATGTAAGGAGTTAAGGTTAGAGAGATGTAAACACAAAACACCACGATTTACGAGGTTTGGCAAGTCTTCTTACGTCCTTGCGTGATACTTTGATGTTTATCCACTGCCTTGGCCATGTCATATGGTATAGACAACTTGTACAAACAAGCAACCTCTATTTCACTTCTCAAATTTGAATTAAAGTAATTTGGCGCTGAATGGATGCCAAGTGACCCCCAAATGACTCTATTGCCCCTTTTCATGAAAATCATTTAAGTGTCTGGATGAAGTCATTTTTCCTAATGGCCTTGAAAACCTTTGGTTTTAACTTTAAGCTTAGGTCCATATCTTAATTCCTAACGGTTGAGCTTTCGAATCAACATGCGACATGATATTACTTTACAAAGATTCTAGTTCTCACCAAACCCTTAGCCTCATGGTCTTGAACTTGTTATTCATATTTGAGTTCCATTGCCATGAGCTTGATCCACATATGAGCTTTGTGTATTTAATCCATGGATCTAACATAGTACTTGAGTTTTGTATAATAACCTGAAATTCATCACACTCAAGTAGACTATTTTAATTATCACATGAATAGTGTGTTATCATCAAAATTACCAAGTTTCCCTTGCTTGAAACCTTGCAGTTAACATCCATGATTTCATGATTTTTTAGGGCCCCTAACACCTTTCTTATACGTAAGTGAACCTGTGATCGAACTTTGGTTCACGTAGCTTGATACGGAGTTACTAATCAAAAAGGATAATTTAAAAAAAAAAAAAATTCATGGAGATCATTTTGAAGAGACATTCCACTCTTAAAGACTTAAACTAAGCTTCTGAAAGTCATTTAAGGTGAACTAACACACCTTAAATCAATTTTAGATGCCAACTCAATACATAAAAGTCCTTTTATACTTAAAAAAGCTAATTTTTGTTGCATTGAACCTTGGTTTCATCTTTGCCGACCCTTCAACTCGAATATCTGATGGGTGGGACCGAAAACCAGAAGCAATAAGGGAAATGAAGATATACTAGAAATATTATAACCTAGAGCTTTAAAAAAATTGAAAGACCATCTTGAGAATCTATTTTGTTAATAATAAGAATAATAAATAAATAAATAATCGAAATGACCTCACCCTTAAGGAACCTATTTTGATACCTTTTGAAAGGAATAATGCCCCATACGCTATGCTTGAGACCACGTAAGATTTGTGCTTGTGAAAGCTAACAGGACAAGGGAATGAATGTGTCTAAATCAAATTCGTTGCTTATTTTTTTCTATGTTTTTAGGCATTCATCCACACAACCATGAATATAACCACGTGCCTAGAAATCACTGTTTTAAGTGAAAATCAAAATGGAGAACTCATCGGACCCAGTACAGATCCTAATCAATTCCCTAGCCAAAGTACAAAATTATTAGCCAATTACAGACTACTACTCTCTGATTTACCAGCTTGTTCATTTACGTCCAACACTGTGCTTGGAACTGCTTGTCAAGAAACCAGTTGGTGTCCATGTCCCCATTCTCATGCCTGGTTTACACTTGGCTCAACAAGCCTATTTGCTGGTGATGTCTTATGTTTGGTGGTTGGTTCCCGTGAGTTCAGTTGTTGTCTTGTGACTCTTTCTAAGCAACCTTTCCCCTACGATCCTCCTTTCACTGTGATTGATAGTCAAGAATAATTGCAGCGAATATGAGTATTTGATGGATTATTTTGTAGTTGCAGCGACTATGAGTCCTTGATGGATTATCTTGTAGTTGATGATATTCAAGTTTTCAAGAAAGTTTGTATAGAACAATTATTTGAGAGATGGTATTTTTTAAAATCTCTCAAAAGAATTCGAAAAAGCATTCTCTCAAAACCCTCACTGATTAATTTGTCTCCTATACCTTGAAGACCCTAAAAGATTGTTATTGTGTTTAAGAACCCCAATCCCAGTTTTTGAATGATTAGAATTCAATTTGAAAACTATTGGATGTGTTTTTGGTAATTTAGAAACAATTTTGTATTTAGAAACTGGTATTTTTTACTCAAAAATCACATTATGCATCTATACATAACACTCTCGAATGTTATGCACCGGTGCATAATTTTCTATACCTGTATGTAACTCTCATGAGTGTCTGGTTATATCTGATCAAATACCATTCACAAGTTCATACAGATGGTTAGACATTTTGGACTTTGTTAAGGGTTAAAGGAATACAAAATTAGTGAATCATATGTTGTGGGAAAGTTTATAAAGTCTGTTTTGTGGACATACAAGGTTTTTTTAGGAGATTAGATATGTCAAATTCTAACAACATCTGATCCCCCAGTACAGCTATCTGTTTCAATTGCAAAACACATTTTTGCTTCTGGAAACACTTTAGAACACACTTAGAAGTAATCCAAGTCAACTTCATCATTGATCCCAAATGAAGTCCAAACTATTTCACAATTTCGTAATTGGTTTGAACTAATTTTACTAATTAATTAGTAAGATTCTAAGCGTTACAAATTATTAGGTAACAATCTAAATATGTGGTCTTCTAGTTTACTTACCTTTCCTAACTTGAATGATTATTCTTCTTGGAGAACTATATTGATGTCATCTTGGCTCAGTCTATAATCTGCAATCACAACTTCAATGCCGATGACGATCCAACTGTTGAAGTGACTCAACTCTATGAATGTGACCAAAATTGTCTTCTCGGAATATGCCAACATTTGTCCTTGACATATTTCGGTAACTTTTGTAGCCATATTGAGGGCTATTCTATCCGGTTAAACTTCAAATTAATAAAATTAATTATGTCACTCCCCCGACTCCTCGGGAGCGAGATAACATTTAACTCTAAAAGTGACAATAACACCTCAAACCAATCTCAGGAAAAGCCTTTTTGATTTAGTGATAATAGTAAATACACCAAATTATTTTGACTTCTGAAGTCTATATCCAATGGTATATATGAAATAAATTTAATTTAAGGTACTGCTGGCCCAAAACTTATATAAATTCAGCAAAACACGTTTTCATTAAAATTTCACCAAAAATAGCATTCTAACTCAATTTATGTGAAACCAGGACCAATTGAAAGCTAACAGACTATGTTTTAATCTCAACAAATTACTTTAATAAATACCTGTACTAATCGGGTCAGATATTGTGGAAAACAGTAGGAAAATTCTGCACTAAAAATCACTTTTCCACTGCAAACTATCCCCAACTTCAAAATTCCATAACAAGTGTAATTTAATATTCCAAGATCTCATTTACAAATGACAAGTCAAGAGTATAGAAATTTCAGTCCAAAAACCTTCATGTTCAGTTCTATTTCCAGCACAAGAGTGCATTTCAAAATTAACAAATCCTTCAACTAATTTCATGTTCAACAAAATGACATATTTCACATGACAAGAAACATTTAAGTAGAATCTCTAATTTTTAACAAATAAAACAAAAAAATTCAAAAAAAGAGAAATATTTTTTATATTTTACAATGTATCTATTTGGATTAGGTAGCAACATATATTTGCTCAACTTGATATTTTAAGTGCATGATGGGTGTATCAAATCCGCTAGGGGCTTGGAAAATTGACTTTGTATATAAAGAATTATTGGATAAGGGAATAGTTGCAGTTCTGATAATAATAATATATATATATATAGATATATATATATATATGTTGAGCAAGGAAATATAGAGGTTGACCTATGTGGAATTTGAGATGAAATTAAGATTCTCATAGGAATCAACGGGTCAGTTGCCTAGCGGTATTAGACTCCTACTTCCAAAAGGGAGGTCAGGGATTCAAGTTTCAGTAGAGGCTTGTGTGTGTGTGAGTACCAACTAAAAAAGAAAAAAAAGAAGAAGAAGAGATTCTCATAGGACTCAGATTGTTCAAAAAGATCATATAGGACACTGGTGTTGCAAGTTGCTCTTATTTCCCATATACATGTAAAAGACTGGAGGGCGTAAAAAAGAATCACTAAGGTTAGCTCTCCTTAGGGTGTTGGACTGTTGAGTTTTTCTTGATCACTCTCCCTAATGACAGGAAATTGGGGGATTTTTTATTTATATCGCTGACCCAATTGCTATCTTTCTTGAAACAATTCTGGAATCCTACGAGTTACTTCCCTCATTTCCTTGCAGGTATTTGCTTAAGATTATTGGAAGCGGAGAGAATGTTCGCCTACAGTATCGTTCCCTACGGAAGATACTGACCTCCCAAGCCATGGAGAATAGATGTTCGACACAACCAGTTCAGAATAGTAGCTGATGGACCTAAATTTTCTATACTACTTTAGTCTCCATAGGACGTACCTAATAGAATCTCACTTTGTTGTCCAATATGGGTTTTTTTGTAAGTTATTGTGCAATAGTGTTGTTTATTTAGCTAGAAAAAGAGAAGTAGTTTGTTCGAACAGTTAGAGTTGCTGTTTAGAAGCTTGTAAAGGAAAGGAAAAGATGAAAAGCATAACACGGCCACTCTGAGTGTCTGGCAACAAGATGTTTGTACTTGACACAAAATTGAATAACAAACATTTGATATATGTTTTGTGTCATGTATTTGCGTGAGAGGAGATGAGTTGAGTTCCCTGTTGAGGCGAACTCTTCGGTTTAATTTTGTTTGATTTGAATTGGTTTCTAGCTTCCAAACATGAGTGGAGGAATTGGCTGTGTTTCCTTTGTACATATACTTGTTTCTATAGGAATTGGCTGTGTTTCCTTTGTACATATACTTGTTTCTATTTGATTGCTTTTTGATCATTGTATATTTAGAACAGGGACAATATTGTCTTATGGAGAAAACAATTTATTGGCAAGCATGTTGAAAGCAATTCTTGTGTTTAATTGCAACAAGAGGATAGTGAAATTACTTATGCATTCTAGGCACAATTTCTTGACATTTATTCAATTAATTTTATTTCACTTTTTATATTGCATTTACAGCTAAACTGGTTCTATCACAAACTTTATAGATTACATTAGACTTTTGATGGGATATCAGGACCTTTTGAATCAGACAGGTGTGTGTTAAATCACTAGCTATGTAGCATGGACACGGATATGTAGCATGGACATTGTCACGGGGCACGGATACGACACGATACGAACACATCGACATATTAAATTTTAAAAAAATAAGATACGGGTATGACTTAAATATGGCTATATATAAATATAAATTTTTATTTATATACATCCACTGGTAAGTGTAAGAACAACCCCATTACCTTCGATACCAGGCACATTTTAAATGACTGTCCGCACACTAGAATGTCATGATTTTATTCAATACACCCCACATGCACTCAGTACTCACACACACTCTTAGAAGCAGGGAGAGATCACTAATTTGAATTTTTCTCCCCCATGAATTTCATGCTATATATTGTATAATTTCGTAGAAATTGTTTCTCTTGCGAAATTACTGAAATGACTGTTGTGAATGGTCAACCTGTTTATAGAATCCTTCTATAGCCTATAGGTTTTTAACGGATCGGAAACTCCATCCGTCCTTTATCAGATGGGAAATATAATGGCTTGTCTTTGGAGCGGGAGACCATCATGACGGGTCAAAATTCTTGGGAGAAAAACAGAAGGGGATGGAGATGTCCAGAGAATTAATTCAAATCTAAGAGGCGTGTACCAACGGGTCAGTGGCCTAACTGTATCAGATGTTTACTTTCTAAACGAAGGTCAAGGGTTCAAGCCTCTAAAGAGGCATGTGTGTGTGAGTAAAAAAAAAAAAAAACCGAAAAGGCGTGTCTATTTTAGTTCAGTGGGTACACAAGCTTGAATCAGTGCACCTTGTAAGGACCCAAACCGGAGGTCCGGATTGCTAACTGGGTCCTTAACTAAACTCGAATACACACTGGGGTAAAATGGTCATTTTACAATGTAAGAGGGTAATAAGACCTTAAACTAGTCAAATGGAGTTTAAAACAATTATTCTAGACATTCTATAATGTTCGGTGAAGTTCTACGGTCACCGGATATGATTTCCCAAAAATGCCCTTATCCGGTTCAAGGGAAATCCAACATTGTTCCACTAAAACAACTATAACTCTCTACATGAATGGAATTTGAGGATGAGGTTGGTCTCATTGGAAAGCTAACTCAAAATTCTTGAAAATGGACTCAAGATTTGACCCTATTTGGATTTGGAACGAAGAAGTTATGACCGTCCGAAGTTAAGTGATCAAAGCTGGAAAAAAAGTTGAAGGGCAAAATGCCCACCGGAGGGCTGGAACCTATTCTCAAATCTTGGTACCGGTTCCACATGGACAGAGAGCCCGGAACGTGAACCAAGTACCCCTTGAATCAGTTCCCGGATGTGGTACCGGTTCCCCGAGTCCAGAAACTAAAAAAAAATGCCCTGAAAGCCTGAAATCATGAACTTGTGCACTTAGGCACTCCTATGGTCCATTGGTGACCTTAATCCTAGTTCAAAACCTGTCCCAACATAATGCAAAATAATGATCTACATGCCGTGGTCCCTTATATAAAAAATTTAATAGATCTCAACATCATTTTCCATTCAAATAAAAATGAATACAAGGCCCTAACACTTTTGTCCCAAATTTACATCAATTAGGCCAAAGGCTCATTGTTAAATTTATAGGGCCATGCTAAACACTTTTAATATATATCAAGATGTTGCTTCACAAAAATGATGGCCCAAGTCTACAAACAGTTGCAAAAAAACACACTTCAAGTTCTCCCTCATGCTTGTGGAGGAATGTCATCCACCACTTTCTTTCTGAGACCTAAAAAATGTTAATAATAAGGGGTGAGTAAAATTGCTCAGTAGGTAGTGCCTAAGATACACCTCTTGAGACCCCGTGAATCCACACAATGAATAGAATATAAAGAAGCGGGATCATGCTACACTGAGGAAGAATACAATTACAATTTTCGACTAAAAACAAATAATGTCATGCCATGAAATGCAATGCCTTGCTATGTCGCTCCCAATTTCGAAACCATCAATCACTGTTCAAACCGTTAACATAACAAGTCCTTTGGTGACTCCGCAGCGACACAAGAGAAGGATTGGCTACTGTCCCTGACCCTTGGTACCTCCGTGATCGGTTGTCAATTATACATCAACCTTTGCAATAGCACAAATCATTGTAAAATAGGACTATTAGTCGGGTAAGTCGAACCACTGCGACTGCTAGTTTGTGGCAACCAAGGTCTTTGAATTCACTTTTAGCTTGAAGAGAGGTGTAGAGTTTTGTTTGGTTTGTCACTTGAAATTAAAATGTGCTTAAAGCAATAATTTGCAAGAAACCTAGAGGAAGAGATATAAGTAGAGAAGACTAGGGAAGTGAATCTACTACCTACCCTATAAGCATGCTAATTGAGGTAAACTTAGGGGAAACAACACAAATATGTGACTATGAAATGCTACAACACAAAATTGCTACATTCCTTCAAGAAATTCATAAAATTAATGGCAAGAATAACCTATCAAAGTTACACATGCTTGAACTACCGAAACTAGGGTGTAGTCTTAAACATGCTTGCTAAGCTAGAGATTATTAAGCCTTTAATCACATGGTAAGAGCACATGAAGTCAAGAGTCAAGAATAGTCCATCAAAGGAGGTCCTAAGCTATGGAATATCAAGATTCTTATACAACATGCCAAGAAACCCATTTCACAATCTCATTTCTATTGTCACTATGAAAATGCAAGCCATACAATTATGAGAAAATAAGATCTAAGACAAGATTATACATTCATCATAATCATTTATAAGAAATTAGATTCATTACATCAAATGTAACCTCTAGATTGTGAAGTAATCATATATATACATCATTTTCCCCAAAATAAACCAAAAAGCTAGAGCATGCTTACAATGTAAGGCTTCATCACCTCCCTAGAAAGGAGTTAGTTATCCATAGGAGCAATGGATGAAGGAGAAGGAGAGATCTTCCCTTCCATTTTCGCACCTAGAAGACCCAAAATACACAAACCCTCAAGAACTCTACTTCTCTCTTTAGCACTTAGCAAAAATGTGAGATATCCTCTAAATACAAGCTTTTCCTTTCTTATCTAGCCAAAATCCTTCCTCTAACCGCTCAAAACCGAGCTCCAACTACCCAAGGAGGAAGGAGGACCACAGAAAGTCACTAGGGAACCAAATGCAGCAAGAAATCAGGAGCAGGTAATCTGCTCTCTATAGATCGGCGGGTGCCCGCGGGTGCTTGCATCCCGAAGGTGGCTACTGGGCAAAACGGCGGGTGCCCGCAGTGGCACGGTGGGCGCCCGCGGAGCTTGCGGCGGGGGCCCGTGGATCACTGCGGGTCCCCGTGGATGAAGGCAGCATTCTGGAGTGATTAGCGGGCGCCCGCGGTGGCGCGGCGTGAGATACCCCTCGGATCCGAGACACGGGTTAATCAGGCCCAGGCCCAAACCCGAGGGAATATCAAACAATTAATATTTTATAATGAACACGGAATACAAAATAAATTAAGAAATAAAATTAAAGCTGGAAGGAACTAAAAATAGAATCCGCAAAATATTATAATTATTAAAATCCATCAAACCCAAACTCCAAAACTCCATCAGTTTACAACTTGGGAATCCATCTCTAGTGGACCCCTATTAAACATCCAAACGGAAGATAGAACAAATGTAATAAACGTCTAGAAATAAAACTATAGAGAGAGCCCTACATCGTCGGAAGAGTGAATAGAGACCTCTGCTCAGCACGAACACGTCTAAGCCTGGAACTGTCGTGTACCTGAAAAATAAAAGTGGGTCAGGCCCACGCGCAAGTTCTATACTATTACAATCTAAACAGAGGCCCGATACGCATGTACAACCTAAACAATTCAACAATAGCTAATAGTCCGTAAATATATATATAGTCACACTAAAGGACTCTCACTGGACTACAGGCCGGTCTCAACCTGAATAGAGGTAACATGCCAAAACGCACACGAAGTGGGCATATGTACCTATACCTAAACAGGGTACACCTCCAACCATCGTAGTCAGCTACACATCCCGATGCATATACACTCCCTAGCCATCGGTCCTGAGGCTCAAGCTCATACCGAGGTACCATAACAGTACATATATAAAATCCATCCAAAATCCCTGGTATTGCCGCTCAACAAGTAGTTGCTATGAGAATACAAATCCACGGGACTTAACTTTTAGTTAATCCCATTCTTATTCCAAGTAGGTGGGTAATGGTATTGATTTAAAAACCAAACCCATCCTTAGTATGCCACCGTCCCATACCGGTGCCTACTTTCCAATCCTCCAGTAGTCAATAATACCAATAAATCAAGTATATATCAACTAAATTCCAACATCCAACATTCAATGTTAGCAGTGATAAAATAAGCATTGATAAATAGGGTCACAACAACAACATATACATGCCCAATTTAAGTTGTTCCCTTTAGTCTGATATAAAGACATAATTAATTAAAACTTCCATTTAACACCTTACAAATGACATACAGATATGTAGGGTATGTATCACAAAATCCTAACCTCCACAGTTGATACTAACTGTGATAATGTATGTAGACATGCTCAAATTATAGTGTTCCATAAAACCGATCTAGTCTTAAACTCAAATCCTCCTAGTATTTAAGTTCCAACAGTTGCTATTACAGAAGTTAAGATAGCTATCATCTAGACCCATCCTTCCAATAATTTATACTAGCAGTGGTAAGGAAAAACGTGAACCACAGAACCACAATG